TGTGTGTGTGTGTGTGTGTGTGTGTGTGTGTGTGTGTGTGTGTGTGTCCACAAGGCCATGGCATGAGTGCAGAGGTAAAAAGATAACTATGGTAGCAGGGCCATGTTCCTGTTAAAGGCTCTAGGAAACTCTAGGAGATAATCCTTCCTTGTTCCTTTCAGCTTCTGGTAGCTCCAGACATTCCTTGGCTTGTGGCTACATCACTCAACATCTTCAATCCTCACTTGGCCTTTTCTGTTCTGTCTGGTTTCTTCCCTTTTATCACTTGCTAAGACTCTTGTCAATAGTCTTATGCTACCTGCAATGACGCAGAACTATCCCTTCTCCTGAGGATTTCAACTCTTTTCTTTTTTTTTAATTTGTTTATATTAATTACAGTTTATTCACTTTGTATCCCAGCTGTAACCCCGTCTCTCATTCCCTCCCCATCCCTCCCTCGTCTCCTCCTATGCTCCTCTCCAAATCCACTGATAGGGGAGGTCCTCCTCCCCTTCCATCTGACCCTAGCCTATCCAGTCTCATCAGGGCTGGCTGCATTGTCTTCCTCTGTGGGATTTCAACTCTTAATTGTGCTTGCAAACATCATTTTCTGGATAGGACCAACTGCACACATTTCAAGGATCAGATTTGCCCATATGTTTTTAGAAGTCACCTCAACCCACTCTGTCCCATGTTTCTTCTCCAGTAATTGGTTCCTTTTTCTTTTTAAAGTTTGTTTTTAAGGAGTGGAAACACACCTGTTGGATATGAGCCACTTCCATCAAGGCCAAGACCATGCCACTGGCATTGACATTGTTTTGGGGTGTTTGTTTGTTTGTTTGTTTGTTTATAGCAGTCTGCCTCTTTTCTAGCTTATGGTACATATGATGAGATAAATTTGATTTTTATTATTCATTTAATGTTTCCACTTTAAAAATACACAAAGATTTGAAGTCAACTATTGAGATACATTGAAAATACTGTTGATGGCTGTCCTTGTGTATGCCTCTTTGTCACACAAGCACATTTTTTTTCTCTACACTATTGACAAGGAGAATTACTAGAAAGACTTAAGAGGGCTTTTTTTTTTAAATTTTTTAATGAGTATTGCCAAATTGCCTTCTATGGTAGTCATCTTTCTTTTACTCCAACAACATAAGTGAAGTAATCAACTTAAAGAGAAGGAAGGTGTATTTTAGATCATGTTTTCAGAGATTCGGTCCATGGCTGCTTGTTCCTATGTCTTTGGGCCCTGTGGTAAGGCAAAAGAACGTGGTAAGAAAATGCGGTGAAGCCAAGCTGCTCACCTCATGGCCAGGAACTGAAGAAGAGAGTCAAGGGAGGGCATGGAGTCTTACTATCCCATTCAAGAACATCTCCACAGAAGCCTTTGGGGGGGGGCCAACTTACAACTTCTCTGAGTAGCATGTGATGCCAGCTCTCCTGTCAGGCTCCTAGCAGCTAGAACTATCAGTCTTTTATAATGTACAGGATGAGAATGGATGTTGCCTGATGGCCATCTCCATTTTCATGCCAGGGAACCCTGGTGTCATGTCTACCTCCCATTCTTCCCTAGCACATTTTCTCTTACTCACTAACCTGAAAGAATTGTTCTCACTTATATATGTGACAAATCATTACCCTATTATATGTGCTGTAACCTCTTTCTTTCACATTGTTGCCTTTTAGCTCTGTTTATAGAGCTAATATAAACACTGTATAACAACAGTCTCTGGTTTTGATTTCCAATGTTATCAAAGTTATCAGTGTTTGTCTTATCTAGTGTAGTGGTGTGAATAAGAATGGCTCCCATAGGCTCAAATGTTTGAGCAATTAACTTGGTCCCTAGTTAGTTGAACTGTTTGGGAAAGACTGAGGTATGACCTTAAGGGAACTCCACAGAAGAGGGGGAGGAAAGATTATAGGAGCCAGAGGGGTGGAGGACACCATGAGAACTTGGACCCCAGAATCAACTAAGCAGGGCTCATAAAGGCTCACAGAAACTGAAGCAACAAACACGGACCCTGTATGGGTCTATGCTAGGTCCTCTGTATACCTTATGGTTTTGTGGCTTGGTGTCCTTGTGGGACTCCCAACAACAGAAGTGAGGAGTTGTCTCTGAGTCTTCTGCCTGCACTTGGGACCGTTTCCCTTCTGCTGGCTTGCCATGTCCAGCTGTGAAATGAGGGTTTGTGCACAGCCTTACTGTATCTTGTTATGCTGTGGCTGTGTTCGGTGGATATTCATGGGAGGTCTGTTTTTGCTGTTGTTGTTTGAAGGAAAACAGAGGAGGAGTTGATCTGAGAAAGAGGGGAAGTAGGGAGAGGGACTGGGAGGAGAGGAAGAGGGGAACTGTGGTCAGAATGCAATGTTTTAAATACAGAATACAAAGTTTTAAAAAAAGAAGTATTGTCTTGTTGGAGGAGGAATGTCACTGAGTTTCAAAAGACTCATTTTGAGCTTTCAAAAGACCCTATATTCTCAGCCTCCCTCTTTCTCCTCTCTCTCTCTCTCTCTCTCTCTCTCTCTCTCTCTCTCTCTCTATTCTGTGTGTGTGTGTCTCTCTGTCTCTTTTTGTCTTTGTCTTTCTCTTTCTCCATGCCTCATGGTTGTGTCTTAAGATGTGAACTCCCAGCTACTGCTCCTGTGCCATGC